CACACACACACACACACATACACACACACACACCAAACACCTTAAATGCTTTAGTTGATTATACAATCATAATAGGACACACACTAGCCCTCATACACACAGCCATAATAAAGACTTGGAAGAAACTTGTACTTAAATTAAACACATGCACTACCGGTAGTGGACTAATGAAGATCACCATATGCGCAAATGAACTAACGTATACAGTATACATACTGGCACATACACAGCATAGATGCACTATTCTTACACCACCACCACTGTCCGTATCATGGCTCTGTGAATGAACATAGTTGACAACACAGCAGTGTAAGAAACTGTACTGGAAACTCGATTAATAATACATACATGATATAATATTTCCCTCATATTCCTCCTTTCTCTTCACAGAAAAGCGAAGGAAACAGAGCACAGCACGGATCAAGGTATGTTCTCCCTCTCACCATTTGACTAAAAAAAAACCCAAAATAAAACCAACAAACGACTCAATCCTCTGGTCCACTGTGTTGGTGTTGGTCTAATCCTTGTCTCTGATGCTCTTTCTTTTCCTTTTTTTTTTTTTTTTTTTGGTAAGTGTTATATACGGCCTTTGCAACTGCATAAGGTCATATGAGCGTGAGGGACACACCAAACATTTTCAGTGGGAAGGAAATTTTGAATTTAGCTCGGGTTGCAGCCGAAGTCTACTGTTATCGATTTTGGACCACCAAGGGATCTTTAACATGCGCAGCTCGCACACTGGACCTCCGAAGTTTTTCGCCCTTGTCCGAGAAGGCCAGGTGTAGGTCTTTCCTACCAGAAGATCAGGGGTGTGTCTGAAAGACAGCAGTAAGAAAGAGCCAAGGAGTGGCAGTAGAAAGGCTGCAGAGAGAGAGCCAGAAGCCCGGAGAAGGGGACTAAGGAGGTGAGGGGGTGGGGGCAGAAAGTGGAGACGAAAGCAGCAGACAACAGAACTTTGCTAGAGAGCAGGGAAGGAGGTGAAAGGAAGCAATTTAAGAGAAGAAAATGTTTCCGTCGCTACTCGGATTCGAACCCGGGAAGTTTGAATTAGAGGCGAACACTTTAACCTGTAGGCCATGAGAGCCCCCTGATGCTGTTATTCACGTGTTAGCCCCATAGATTTGTACATTGTACTTTTATTATAATACCAAGACTTTGCACTCTGGTGTTCTTCTGGTTTCACCATGGAGCACATCATTTGAGGCATCGTGGTGAAATCGGGCGGGCGCTCGTCAAAATAACGAAGTCACGGGAACAGGCTTTTTTTCTGCCAGTGAGGCAAATTTCTATTTTTATTTATTTATTTATTT